AACATACTTGAAGAGATTTTTTCAAATTGTAAAAACTAAACCAACATATTTGCATTTGATTTATTTCTATTACGGGTTCTCTATGTAAGTAAATTGCGGTTTTATGCAGCAGAAACAAGAATTGAAATTGACAGAATTGATCTGTATTTCAAAAAAAAAAACGAAGATATCTTCCTCATTGTTACTCAAACAAAGGTTGAATTAATGTGAGGAAATTTTTGCAAAAAAATGTGTCAACGCCAACAGGACGAACCAGGATCAAATAATAAATAAATCAGTTCGATGTTTATTCTGCTCAGCAGTTGAAAACATGCATTTCTCCTTGCATTAGTTTCACTGAAACCCCTTCTATATGTTTTATATGCAGAGGGATAAGTCCATCCTAAACCTCGTCATCCGGCTTTAATTTTTTCTCCATTCTCATACTTTTTCTCCCGCTTCCATCTCATACTTTTTCTCCCGCTTCCCCCTCGTACTTTTTTCGCCGCTTCCCTCTCATAGTTTTTCTCCCGCTTCCCTCTCATACTTTTCCTCCCGCTTCCCTCTCATCCTTTTTCTCCCGCTTCCCTCTCATATTTTTTCTCCCGCTTCCATCTCATACTTTTTCTCCCGCTTCCCTCTCATACTTTTTCTCCCGCTTCCCTCTAATACTTTTTCTCCCGCTTCCCTCTCATACTTTTTCTCCCGCTTCCATCTCATACTTTTTCTCCCACTTCCCTCTCATACTTTTTCTCCCGCTTCCCTCTAATACTTTTTCTCCCGCTTCCCTCTCATACTTTTCCTCCCGCTTCCCTCTCATACTTTTTCTCCCGCTTCCCTCTCACCCTTTTTCTCCCGCTTCCATCTCATACTTTTTCTCCCGCTTCCCTCTCATACTTTTCTTCCAAGGAATGTAACTGGATCCCGATGGTTTCCAACATTCTCCCTCATCTTCAAATTTGACGGAATTCACACAAAAAGCGGAACAAAATTGTATCAAATACAAATAGTTGTTGCCTTGTTAAGAAGTGTAGACAGGATAACAGGATAACAGGATACCAGGATACCAGGATATCAGGATACCAGGATACCAGGCTATCAGGATACCAGGATACCAGGATTCCAAGATACTAAGATACCAAAATACCTGGATACCAGGATACCAGGATACCTAGATACCAGGATACCAGGATAACAGTACACCAGGATACCAGGATACCAGGATACCAAAATGCTAAGATACCAAAATACCTGGATACCAGGATACCAGGATACCTAGATACCTAGATACCAGGAAACCAGGATACAAGGATACCAGGATACCAGGATATCAGGATACTAGGATAAAAGAGAATAAACAAGAATGTAAGAGAATGAACTAAGATGAAAGAGAATGAACAAGTATGAAATTGAACTAGTATGAAAATGAACTATTATGAAAATGAACTATTATGAAAATGAACTATTATGAAAATGAACTATTATGAAAATGAACTATTATGAAAATGAACTAGAATGAAAATGAACTATTATAAAAATGATCTATTATGAAAATGAACTATTATGAAAATGAACTATTATGAAAATGAACAATTATGAAGTGAACTATTATGAAAATGAACTATTATGAAAATGAACTAGAATGAAAATAAAGTAGGATTAACGAGTATGAAGAAGGATGAAAGGAATTGAAGTAGGATAAAAGAGAATAAACTAGAATGTATGAGAGACAACTAGCAAATAAAGGAGTCAACTGGGAGGAAAGAGAAGGAACAAGAATGGAAATGAATTATGGGGAAAAAATTAGTTGGAATGAAAATTAACTTAGATGAAAATTAACTAGGATGAAAATGAACTAGGATGAAATGAACCATGATGAAAATAAACTAGGATGACTGTATAAACTAGGGGATGGTATCTTAGAATTCTGTTATGCTTACTAGGAGACAGTGGTTTTCCCAATTATAAAAATCCAAACTGGTTAATATTTATCTTTAAATGCATCTATCTTTATATTCTTTACTAGTCCTTCTTAGTCCTAAAATACATCAAACTAATTTTTACTAGTCCTTGTTAGTCCTTAAATACATCTACATATCCTTCAATAGTCCTGATTAGTCCTTAAATAAATCTACCTATTCTTTTCTAATCCTGATTAGTCTTTAAATACAACTATATATCTTTCATTAGACCTTAAATACATTTTCCTATCCTTAGCTAGTCCTGCTTAGTCCTTAAATATATCTACCTATCCTTCAATAGTCCTGATTAGTCTGTAAATACAACAATATATCCTTTATTAGTCCTGTTTAGTCCTTAAATACATCCACTTATCTTTCACTAATCCTGCTTAGTGCTTAGTCCTTAAATACATCTTTATATCCTTTCACTAGTCCTGGTTAGTCCTTAAATACATCTATATATCCTTTGCTAGTCATGGTTAGTCCTTAAATACATCCATCATTTTTTTAGTCCTTATTAGTCCTTGTATACATCTACCTATCCTTCTATAGTCCTGGTTAGACCTTAAATACGTCTGTATATCCTTTCATTAGTCCTGGTTATTCCTTAAATACATCTATTTATCCTTTACTAGTCATGGTTAGACCTTAAATACATCCACCAATCTTCTTTTAGTCCTTATTAGTCTTTGAATACATCAACCTATCTTTCACTAGTCCTGGTTAGTCCTTAAATATGTCCACCTACACTTAAGTAGTCTTCTTAGTCCTTAAATACATCAACCTCTCCTTCACTAGTTCTGATTAGTCCTTAATTACATCTACCTTTACTTTACTTTACTATTGTAATTGTAACCTCCATGTTATTTCTTACTTCATTTTTTTCTATAATGTTTTAATCCTTTTCTTCTTTTTCTTTTTCATCCTTTCATCTATGTTTAATTTAATAAATTTATCTTTTCTCTTTTTTATTCTTTCAACAATTGATTAAGGCAGTTGTTCATTCATTAATCTATTCTAATTTATTTATTCATTCAGTTTTTGACAATACCACCATTCCTTAAGGACTGAAGAGGATATAAAATACATCGAAATTAATTTCCAAACTCGAGTTTTTCTACCTGTGAGAGTAAAACCTTTTTTTGCCAGTTTGGACAATTTACATTTATTTATTCATTCTTTCGACAAAAAAAGATTTTGATAATTATTCATCTATATCCCGTACTCATTCATTCATCCTTTCATCTATGATCTATTTACTAACTTTTCATTTATTCAACTTTTCATCTATTCAACTTTTCATCTATTCAACTATTAATCTCTTTATATGTGCATCTATTCAACTTTTCATCTACTCAACTATTAATCTATTTATGTATTCATCTATTCATCTATTCATCCTTTCATCTATTCATCTATTCATCTATTCATCTATTCATCTATTCATCTATTCATCTATTCATCTCATCTATTCATCTATCAATCTATCCAGATCAGAATAAGTATTTGAAAACCCTGGTTTGTTGCAAGATTTCTGAAAATTATTATTTTTGTTTCAAATTCGATTTCCACCAAAATCCAAAAAAGGAGTTTCGAGAAATTATTGAAAAAATGTTTGTTTCAACTAAATTACATCATTACTGATTTATTCAATATAAAAAGGAATTAGAAATAAACTTTTTTTTACATTTGTTATTTTCAATACTTTTTCTGGATTTATTCTTCTAAACTTATAAAATTAAAAAGATTCTTTTCGGATTAAAGCCGTTATTTGATTGATCTCAAGATTTTAAAAGATATTTTATAATTAAAACTAGAAATAATTGTTTATTGAAATAAATGTGGTAAAGAATTAATGACCGTATCATTTTTGATTTTTTATAATCTTTGTTTTATTCATTGTAGTCTTCTTTTGTACAATACCATCTCTTCCTGGATGAAAATTATAAAAAAAGATCTTAAATCTAAAGGGACCAATTTTAAATAGCCTTCTATATACAGAAATGCATTCACAACAGAAGTATCCTTAAAAACGTTATCTGAGTAATGATGAAAAAGATAATGGTGTTTTTCTCTTAATTTTTAAAAGTGTCTAATTCTGAAAATTACCTTCCGTGCCATGCTCTGCACAAATCCGCCAGAAGACAGAAACCACAATTAAAAATGTTCAATTTCAAGATAGGAAAAGGATAACTCAGGAAACGGTTTGAAGGATACCGTTGTGGATCGTACATTAAACTCTTTAAAGAGAAGGTCCCTTGATATTACATTGGTGGCCCCTTGATATTACATTGCTGGTCCCTTGATATTACATTTCTGGTCCCTTGATATTACATTTCTGGTCATTACATTGCTGGTCCCTTAATATTACATTTGCTGGTCCCTTGATATTACATTTGCTGGTCCCTTGATATTACATTGCTGGTCCCTTGATATTACATTGCTGGTCCCTTGATATTACATTGCTGGTCCCTTAAGTTAAACCATTTACAAGGGAACTGATTATTTCCTACTTTTTTGTCTTTGCAAACTAATACTTTGACTATTTGATTAAGCAGAATTCATAGTTTGAAATATAAAACATCACAACATCAGGTTGTAAAGTTATACAGAGTAAAAAGAAGTAAAAGGGAGTTATCAGTTCCTATAGTCCGAACTAGCTGTAATCATTAATAAATTTTGAAATTTTCTTTCGATTTTATTTATTGTTATTGTTTTACTTCGGAGAATTCTTTCTTTTCTTTTCATAAATTCGTTTTCAAATTTGTATTGCTCGTTTATTTTTTAGTTTTGGTATTCTTTTACTACTTACTTGGAAATCATTCTCTTTAAATCAACCTTGACACAAAGAAATTGAGTCTTTGTCACACACTAATTAATACCTATATCTTTATATTCCCATGTCCAATGAATTCTGTTCGATAATATAATCTAAGTACAAAGGTTTAAATCATCAGGTTACAAATACTTATGGATTAGAAAATTTGATTTTGTTGCAAAGAATCAATTCTTTGTCAAGCTTAACACCAGATCTTGCTTTCTATAAATTACTAAAAAAACTTTTAAAATTAAATATATCTTTATTAATAATATGATAAGGTGAAATGAACTAAGATCTATTAAAATGATAAAATATATCAAATATCTACATATTTACAATAAATTAAACTTCAACTATGTTTACAGATTTGATTTACTGATTGGACTCGGTTCCAGAGTTAAGACGGTTTATCTTCTCCATGAGGTTTGCTCTCTTCTTGTCAAACACCTGGGTCTGGAGAACAGTCGGAGGCATATCCGGAGTAGATCCGTCCTCGGAGCTGGAGTTATTAGAGATCGTTTCATCGTCGCTACCTTCTCCGTTGTTGGAGACACCGGAGTCGTGTTTTTTCTTATGTCGGAGCATTGAATGCTTGAGAGTAAATTTCCGGTTGCAGATGTCACAGGAGTAAGGACGTTCTCCGGTGTGGGTTCGAACATGTCTCCGGAGATCTTCAGCGGACCAAAATTTTCTAGAACAAAAGAGACAAATGATCTTCCTGTTGGCGTAGTCGGGGAACTTGCCACGTATATGGTCGTACAGTTCTTCTCCGGACTCTGGGTGCTGCTGGGAGTACTGCTCCTCATTGGGTTCAAATGCTCCCTTTGACATGAGGGAATTATATTCCTCCTCGTGAGATTCTTCTATATGTGAGACGGCTGAGGTTCGGTCAGCAAATCCCTCATCACAGATATGACATTTATACGGAGAATCAGAGCAGGTTGAGTCCCGTCTCAGGGTCTCAACTCCAAAAGGAAGATGAAACCCCTCCTCCTCCTCCTCCTCCTCATTATCATCCTCCTTCTCATGGTTGTTGTTTCCATGCTTCCTGAGTATATGTCTGTCACAGTTGGATTTGGTTGTAAACCAAAGAGAACATTCTGTACACTTGAACGGTTTCTGTCCGGTGTGGGTGAGGATATGTCTCTCCAGGGAAGAGGCCCAGGGGAACTTCCTGGGGCAGTAGGGACAGTTCATTCTCTGGGGAGCAGCGGAGTAGGCGGAGATCTTCTTCTCATCTCCTACAGAACTCTCACTTTCAACCTCAACATCATCCTTGCTAAGGTTCTCATTGGTGAAGAACTGAGAAATATTTCTGAAAGTTTGATGTTCAGCTCTCATCTTCTCCTTATCATCAATAATCAGGTTCTGCTCCTCCTCGTCCTCCATGAATCCGTCCTCCTCCTCCTCCTCCTCCTCCGTCTCATAGGAGTCCTTCAACACGTTCTGTCTCTCCTGAAGTTGCTCTACAGTTTTGACTGAGATAAGACCCTGACTCTGAGAATCATCTCCTTGAACTGTAGGTTTCCGTCCCGGTCCTGGTCTAGGTTTCTGATAATAAACCTCCGGGTGCTGCTGCTTCATATGACGATCCATGTTGGAGCGAAGAGTAAACCTTGCCTTGCATTGTTCACATCCGTAGGGTCTCTCTGTTCTATACCGACGCTGTTTCTGTTTCCGCATGAGAACTCCGTTCTTTATAATCATTTTGTAGGACGAATCCGACTCCGGGTTTAGACTTGGCTTCTGGGGACTACTCTGAGGACTCACAGTTGACAGGGAGGAGTTGGTTGGAGAGATTTGACTGTGAAGAGGATTATGGGAACCTAGATCTTGAATCTGATTAAAGTTTTGAAACGCAGCTGCGGATTCTTTGGCATGAATAGCTTCAGCTTGCTTTTTAAATTCTTCGTTTTTTGCCGCCAAAAGCGCAGCAAGATGCATTGGGTTGAATGGGAAGGATGAGTTTAGAGCGTTTAAACCAAACTGATGAGGCCAGATATGACCCGGAGGAGTCCCTTGAAGGAAGGGAAGGTTGAAGGGGAAAGGTTTATGGGGGAAGGGAAGGGATGTATCAAGTTTATCAGATAGAGCAGGATGTACCGGTTCATCTTTGGCTTCCATCTTGAGATCATGAGAATATTTTCTAGAGTCTTCTACAGCTCTAGGTGCAGCTTTACTCAGGTCTAGAGGAGCGTCCTCGCAGTCATCCTCGGAGTCCACGATGTCACGATCAACCTCGAAAGGTCTGTATGGAATGAATGCTGAAGATCTGGGGGGTGTAGGGGGGAAAATAAGACCCTGAGCGGATTCAGGATCAAAGGAACTGTTTCTATATTCCTTCTCTCCAGAGTTAGATTCATCCTCTCCCCCCTCATGGATAATAATATGCTCTCTAACATCATCCTTGTTGTTCTTGTTGTGTTTGTTCTTTACGTGCCTTTCGCAGTTTGCCTTTGTGGTGAACCCGAAGTTACAAATCTTACATTCAAAAGGTTTCTGTCCAGTGTGTCCTCGCATATGCTGGAGTAGATTACTCTTATCCGTGGTGGAGTACAGACATGTTCCAACATTACACTCAAACGGAGGATTGATCATATGCTCCTTGTTGTGTCCCTTTAAAGCTCTGAGGTTGGGGAAGACAGCTGTGCAGTGTCTGCAGGGGAACTCTCCCTTTAATTTCATCTCCTTGAGCGCAGGATCATCATCCTGACCAGTCCCAGTCTCCGAGCAGAAGGAAGTATTGTGGATGTCTGAGTTAGATAAGGAATCCCTCTCTTCCTCTTTAACAGGTGAGAAGGGTGTGGGGAGGAGCAGTGAAGGTTGACGTCCTGTCTCTGTAGGGTTGATCAGAACCTGAAGGTTTCCTGTATACGGGGTTTGGATCAGAGATCCTGGGAAAGAATGGACCGGAGTGGAACCCAGGTTGAAATGAAACATGTTTCTATGGAGTTTATAATAGTTGTAGGACGGACAGGGGTGTCCACACTCCTCACACTTTACATCCCGTCCTGGGTGCAGAGAGATCATGTGAACATCTAGAGATATATCACTGTAGAACTTCTCAGGACATATCGGACAATTCAGCAGAGAATACTTGGATTCATCAACACTTATCTTACTCTGGAGTCCGTCCTGTCCTACCGGAGGAGCCGCAGCTTTCCTCTTTCGTGCTCGCTTAGTCCCTGAGCCGGCAGAACCATCGCTCTCACAGGAATCTCGTACATTATGGGTTCTTCTGTGTCTATGCATGTTACCGTTTGTGGTGAAGGTCTGTGCACAGACCTCACATGAGAATGGTCTCTCCCCTGAGTGGACCAACATGTGCCTGTCCAAGGAGCTGAAGGAGGACAACATCTTCCCACACAGACAGCAGTTGTACACCTTGGTCTGACCTAAACAATTATATAGATATAGACATACATATTGGATAGATATGTAAGACAGAAAGATATAAATTCTGTTTTCTAATAGATATAAAACTATGAAGAAAGATAAAAAGATATACTTCAAATGTTGAGCTAGTTTGATAGAGAAGAAAATAGATATAGATATATAAATAGATCGATAGAAATAAGTAAATATAAATAGTAACAAAAAAAGATAAGTAGATGTATATATATATGTGGTATATTGAAATATTGCATATATATATGCAAAAACCTGTTCCACACTGTTGTGGACGTTTTAAATCAGTAATGAAAATAATGTGTTTAAATCTCGTATTTATTTAGCAAATAAAGAGTTTTGAAGAAGAAGATGTAAATATTTATGTAACTATAAAACAATAATCAGTGAAGCTTCTCAGTTTTCATATTTATTAATACAAATTGTTTCAGATCTCTCCATCCTCATCAGTCAATAAACATGGGTTAATGGGAACTATTTATGTATATATACTGGGATAGATTGATAGGATTTATCAAGGTTTTACATGGATAGATTGCAGATCATGTATTTTTCTTCAAAGATAAATTGTTTCAAGGTTGTTAACCAAGACAAATTATTAATATAAGTAACTAAATCTTTTTTTAATTCTACACTTTTCCATTTTTCAGTTTGAAAATTCATCTTAATATTCACATCAGACAGGAATAATGAGACCTAATATAATGATTGCCAAAAATAAATTGTTTAAAGTTCTGAAAATGATTGATGTAAGTCAAGGTACCTGTAGGATCAGCAGGATCATTAGTAGGTTTAGCTTCATTATGTCCCCGGAGATGGGACGTAAACTCCTTCAAGCTTGTCATGTTCTCGGAGCAGAGAGGGCACTTGAAATCTCGAGCTCGGTTCTGGTCGTAGCTCGTCTGAAATATCCAGGGTTAGGATCAGGTTTCAGTTTGCTCAAGGTATCTTAATACACTAGAGGGTTTTCTCCCGGATTTCTCCGCAAACAAAGCTTAAGATTAATCTAGGTTTCTGCAGGAATAAATAAAGGAAAAATAAAGGAAGTTAAAAAAATAGAAGAATGAAAAAGAAATAAAACAAATATTTAAGAACTGGAAGGAGTTATTATAGTAGGACGGAATAGTAGGAAAAAAGTAGGACGACACATGAAATTAGAAATGTGAGTAAAGGACAGATAAGAAAAGAAAGATAAAAGTAAAGGACGGATAAAAATTGAAAAATATGAGTGAAGAACGGATAAGAAATGAAAGTTATGAGTAAAGGAAGGATAAGAAATGAAAGATATGAGTAAAGGATGGATAAGAAATGAAAGATATGAGTAAAGGACGGATAAGAAATGAAAGATATGAGTAAATGACGGATAATAAATGAAAGATATGAGTAAAGGACGGACAAGAAATGAAAGATATGAGTAAAGGACGGATAAGAAATGAAAGATATGAGTAAAGGATAAATAAGAAATTAGAGTTATGAGTGAGGATCAGATAAGAAATGAAAGATGAAATATATGAGTAAAGGACGGATAAGAAATGAAAGATAAGAGTAAAGGACGGATAAGAAATGAAAGATATGAGTGAAGGACGAATATGAAATGAAAGATATGAGTAAAGGACGGATAAGAAATGAAAGATATGAGTAAAGGACGGACATAAAATGAAAGATATGAGAAAAGGACGGATTATAATTTCTACCTGTTTGTCCTCTTCATCGGTTCTAAAGTCTAAAGCTGGAGGTGGAGACATGTTGTCCTCGCTGGATGGAGGCGTGGCTGGGTTTGGTTGTGGGAGGGCCATAAGTCTACCCCTAGCTAGGTATTGCTGGTGGAGCAGGGTTGGGAGGAAGGGTGAGCTAGGAATCACCTGCATCCTTCAGTCTCTTGGTTTCAGGTTTATTCAAATCTGAAATATAAATAAGATTATTTCATGGTTCATTTGAAGAAGGGGGGGAGGAACTGATGTGGGGGGGGAGATCTGGGGAAAAGCAATATCTGTAACGGAAGTGGGTCTGGTCAGGACAAGAAGAAATCTATTGTTTTGAAACCGAATCTTGGAGCGCTCAATCTCTACTCCGTGAGAATTACTCCGTACTCTAGATTCAACACCAATCATTAATCTTAGACCTTCAAGTTCTCTAGCTGTATAATTAAACTGAATAATAATGGTAAGTATGCATAATCCTAACAGTATTCATGTTGGATAAAGAAATTAACAAGAAACCTCACAAGAGCAAAGTGAAACCTCGTTTTTATAGATTTACCAACAAGTGACAATTTTAAACCTTCCGTGTACAGAAAACAGGAGATAGAGAATAACATCATGATTTCATCCTGTAGACTAAACCTGTAGAATACACCTGTAGATTGAACCTGTAGAGTAAACCTATAGACTAAACCTGTAGACTAAACTATGAACCTGTTCACTAATGAAGGAAATCTATCTATCTATCCTAGTTTCATCAATTACTGGAGCAGGGAAGTCATTACATATAATAATGATGTAAGATGGAGGGGAGAAGGAGGCGTCATCAGTCAATAAACATGGGTTAATGGGAACTATTTATGTATATATACATATATATATATATATATATATATATATACTAACACATAAGACATAAATAAATCTTTTCTATGAATAGAGTTTAAATTCTTCATGAAAATGTTTTGTAAAATAGGGAAGATAAAAGAATCAAAAAGAGGAAAAATTGTAAAATTAGAATTGTACAGCCACGAAGAGATTTGGAATGAGGAAGGATTGAAACCATGAGAGAAGAGCAGAATTAAATACCCTGTAGGGTGGTACCATATCCGCACTGATTGACAGCAGAGGGGAGAGAGGAGGGGAGGCGAGGGAAAGTCCAAGATTTTTTCACATCCTCTATAAGTTATGGTTATTTGCTACACATCCTTTCCCATTGCTATGCACCACCAGTTTATCTAATAATGTTGGAGTAAAACATTGAACTGAATATTCTCTAATCTCTACATTAAAGATGCCGTCAACAACATTAATACTTTTGACGGTGTATTTTTCTGTTTAATGATGATGAAAAAAGTATAATTAAATGTCAGGCTTTGATCATTGTTTGTCAATATATTTGAAATCTCATCCTGTTGTAAAATACATTCTTTTAAGCATTATGTAAGACTAGTTTTAAGAACAATAAGATTTATGTTGCACTGCATTGCTAGATTAAATATGGAAGAAAAGGTAGGGACGACAAAGAAGAAAGATGATAAAAACGAAGTAGAAGAACAAATATGAAAAAAATAGAAAGAAAATCCAAGATAAAGGAGGGAAGAAGGGTGGGAAAGGGAGGGAAGTGTAACAAGTGATTGTGATCATTCACATGGATGCGCACCATGGGGGGGGGGGGCAATTCCCCTTCTTCCCATTCCCTCTGATTACCCTCCTTCCCCCACTTGGAAGCAAATACGCCCTTCCTCTATATAAATTAGTCCAAGCCGGTTGAACCTGACTAATTTAAGGCATGAATGCTATATGCTTGGGAACTCTTCAAATTACATCTGCAGAGTGGACAAAGACGGACACCTTTGTGTGCTTTAGATAAAACTTGGTTATGCTTGGAGGAAATAGTTCTTATTTAAAAAGACTAAAAGCATCCTGTCTTCAAGGGGGGGGGGAGTCCAGGGAAGGTTGTGGTGGCATTAATTGACTGCCCGGACTGGTGATAGAACATTTGTAAGTCTAATTATCCATTAAGGAACTGGAAACTGAACTAATAAATAGCAAGGAGTAAACACATCCTCCCTCCCCACCTGCCCTTTCAGTCCAGCCTCAAGAAGAAGACGACCCAGCTGCGCAACATCTGGAAGATGCCGCGGAATGGGTTAATTACAGACATTAATCCCACAGCTCCTGGACACCCTGACAGCCTTGTTTCTTGATTGAGTATAAACAAAACTGAAACGTGCTGAGAGCTAACAGGATTAGAAACACCCTCGGGGGTAATTAGCTTTATGTCATCAAGTGTACAGCAGATATGTTCTCCGAGTAATTTATCATAATTAGTAATTAGCAATATGAAAAAAAAGAAGGTTTAGTTAAAAAAAGAAGTTAAGAGAAATGGTTGGGCATTTTAAGTTGGGAGTGTGCTATTTTTGTATTTGACCCAGAAATAAAACTCCACCCGCCCGGAAATAAATTTTAAGGTTTCTCAATTTCTGCAACAAATAAAGTTTCTTTGCGCCATAAGTGTCGCACGGTTCGTAATCAGGACAAGGTTTCTCCGAGATATAAACCCAACCCTGCGGATACAGTTCCCGGAGCTGTAAACCTTTTAAACCCAACCTTAGACAAAATTCTAGGATCAAGACGTGTAAAAACCCTCTCTCTTGGATATACTATTATACAACTGATGTTTAAATTGAATCTTGGAAAATTTTCTAACACGTAGAAGTTTAATGTAGTGAAGNGGGGGGGGGGGGTATTAAGTAGAATAAGGTTATCAAAGGCGGAGTAGCATGTCATAAGTGATTATATCCTGTATGCGCTTGAAAGGATGAATCTGGACTGGATTGACAGGATCAAGGTACCGAGAGAGGGAGATAACTTTATTATCCCTTGGGGGGTCCAAACATTTTACAGCCCTGGAGGCAGTATTCATCTAATTAACAAGTCCAGTTTCCCCACATCCTTTGTTGATATCTAGAAAGTGTTGACTGTTTACTTTTTGCTGAATCTCAATTAAGATTAGTCTTGAAGATAATAAAGATCTTGTATGAGAGAGTTGGAAGGACGGATTCATCTGTTGCTCCAGTAGCGGAACATAGTAGGACAAAGATACGGTTCTCAGCACACTTTATCACACGATCAAACCAATTTCTCATTAGACGTTATTAGAGTCGCCACAATAAATCCAAATCTTGTGCCAAGTTTCTTAAGAGAGCTAGTATCTCATCTAGCTGTACAAACTACAAACTACATATAGCAGAATTATTTTCTTCAAAAAACGTTCAGCAAACATTACCATGAAAATTAAAATTGTAATTGTACTTCAAAATTGTAAAAATAGCTAATCTTTCTGATTATTTGAATAAATGATCGAACTTGTTGAAATTAGACAAAGTATTCATATTATGTAGTTTATTGGTGTATAGATATAAAAATGGATAGTTAAATTTAGAACCCCCTGTATGGATACAGGAGTAGATAGTTTATTTTTAGAACCTCCCTGTATGGATATAAAAATTGATAGTTTATTTTTGCCCCCCCCCCCCTGTATTGATAAAGGAATGAGATGTAATTAGACTGAATGAATAATACAGGTTGGTTTACTAACAGGTGGATCATCCAAAAAAGGGATATTTTTTTCAAATTGTTCAAGGAAATCTTTTTAAATAAACACCCGAATAAAAATGAGAAGGTAAGATGAAAACTTTTAAATGATGAATTTTGAAGAGTATATTGAACTCTAAATTATGAAATATAGTTGATAATCAACCAAGCAAACCCTGGATTCATGTTTCCATTCAGATTCAACTCAAGCAAACCAGGCACACAGGAAGCCGGGTATTACAAAGGGGGGGTTTATTATCTTCCAAGGAGGAGGGGGGGGATATGTTCTGGGTTTGATGTAAACAATGCCAGGAAACAACAAGGTCCAACTGTTGAAGATCAATTTAAACGGAAACTTTCCAACCATTCAATAATCCCCTTTAAATCTTCCTTACATCCCCCCCTCCTTCCCTCTCTTCCTTACATCCCCCCCTCCTCCCCTCTCTTATTTACAATCATATTTCTATACTATATATATTGCAGAAAACCACGGTTTATTATTCAATCGGGCCTAGTTCATGGTTTTAGATCTAGTTTAAAGAGATTTCCAACCCAACCTTACTCCGGGTAGGAGAAGATATTTAAAGATGTCCATCCCAACCTTACTCCGAGTAGGAGAAGATATTTAAAGATTCCCAACCCAACCTTACTCCGGGTAGGAGAAGATATTTAAAGATGTCCATCCCAACCTTACTCAGGGTAGGAAAAGAAATCTAAAGATGTTCAACCCAACCTTACTCCGGGTAGGAGAAGATATCTAAAGATGTTCATCCCAACCTTACTCAGGGTAGGAAAAGAAATCTAAAGATGTTCAACCCAACCTTACTCCGGGTAGGAGAAGATATCTATAGATGTCCATCCCAACCTTACTCAGGGTAGGAAAAGAAATCTAAAGATGTTCAACCCAACCTTACTCCGGGTAGGAGAAGATATCTAAAGATTCCCAACCCAACCTTACTCCGGGTAGGAGAATAAACAGGTGGTTTGCGGGAGTCGATATCTTTTCAATAAAAGCATGTGCCTCTATTCTATTCTCCTATTCTATGATATGTAAAACACAGGTGGCCTAGGCGCCAACAGGTTCATACTTAGATAAGCGTGAGATAAAGATATAAAAACTATGTTTTTATGTATATATTCATATATATATATATATATATATATATATACTAACACATAAGACATAAATAAATCTTTTCTATGAATAGAGTTTAAATTCTTCATGAAAATGTTTTGTAAAAGATTGCAGGTTTGACATATTATGTTTGAAAACAAAAGTTAATTTGTCAATTTTTTCCTAAAAATGCTGTGTCGTGTGCCCTGAGAATTTGCTGATAAAATCTACCAAATTGTTTTTTTAAAAATGAGTATTTGCAACGGGCTGATTCAGTAGAAAATTATTTCCACAAATACACAAATTCAAGACAACACAATTATTTGAATGAATCACTTGGTATTTTTATATTTCTGTTTTGAAAACTTATAGAAAAATATTCACGCACTAGAAGTAAGTTTGGAAGTCATAGAATTTTTGCCGAAAATCAAAAAAGGAAAAATTAAAATTTCAAGAAAAGGCTGAGAAAGGGAGATAGAAGAAGTGACTTTAAAGTCATGGTTGGAGGGGGGGGGGGAGGTGGGGATGGAACCCCCGTAAAGAATGGATGCTGAGTTCGAGATGTTTACAGCATTTGTTTATAAATTGTTTATCATATTTACAAAGAATTCAATGTTTTCAATATACTAAACTCCTGGGGTGCAGAACTCCAGCCCACCTCCCCTTCATCCTTTCACCCCCCCCCCCTAACCCATGATTTTAATCCTTTGAAACTTATACATAATAGAATTTAAAATAATTTAAGTATCAAAATGTCATTGCGGGATGGAGCAACAAGTTTAAATAAGAGCTTGTTAAAGAAACTTGATTCTCGAAATACAATTCCAATCTTGAACTAATAAAATCACTAATTCAAACAGAATGAACCGATGCAGAAAACTTTCAAACAGTGCATTCAGACTTTTGCAATTGCAAAAACAGAGGGGTTAGAGATCTCAGATCATTTTTCGCCAAGACAGGAAGGGTTTGGTGAAGAGATAAATCCAACCCATATACTTCATACCAGGAGATAAAACGGTTTTAAGATAAATTGATCTTTTTTTACAAGAATATTTGGCGAGCTATGGTGTTAATATTAAACCAGGAAAAAATCCCAGTCATAATACAACTTGTATCTTTTTAACACGATGCGCAATAATTCCTAGAAATTTTGCAGTTCAAGTCTTCGAACCAGGGAGAACCCAAAATGGATTAAATTTATCCCATCTCAAGACCGCAATTCATCCCTTCTCTGCTGTAAAAAAATTTTACATCAGAGTTCGTCCTAAACCTCTCAATATAACCAGGGATGATGGGGAGAACATGATAAAATTCTTAAACTCACTCTTCAATCCTCTCCAGGTTCCAAGATAAACACTTAAACCCAACTCCATACGTCCAAACCTACTCAACTTTGTCCCACTTGAGAAACCATCTTCATCATCTTAATTTTCTAATGGCACACGAAGCCAAAGACAATAATGAAGATCAAGTGAACAATATCTTTAATGCATTCAAACTTTCAAAGTGTTTACTGATACCAAAACCATGGTTTAACAGTTTTGCTTTCTCCAGGATTAAATATAAGGTTGAGAAAAGATAAATGATAAAGACCTACCATAGGATAAAAACAAGGAGTTGAGAAGAGTAACTTGTCTCACGACCTAACTGTCCGCTGGTATAGAAACTACTGAATAATCTTAAGACGATGCCCGGCCTGGGTTACAAGGATCGGGGAACGGAGAAAGGATCGGTCTCCCCCCAAATCAGAATTTCTGAACGGTCATCTTCAATCCGGTTCTATTTCCATCAATTTCCATTTAATCCATGATATTTATAAATATCTATATCAACCAGAATCAAATATTTTCCAAAAAACTTTAAAGATTTGTTTTTCTATTTTGGATAATTTTACGAAGAATAATTCCATTAACATTAACAACTTAGTTTGGTAAATGTCGAAATAAATATCTAAAACTTTTGATCCTAAAATATCCCTTTTAAAAAAGTTCAAATTAAGAATTATGAGACCTACGAACATTGTACATTGTACATACCTAGATATGTGCTATTATAATTTAATGCTTTGATTCCGGAGTATCTGGATAACCAGATTCTTGGATACCTAGATACTTGGATACCTAGATACTTGGATATCTAGATACTTGGATACCTAGATACTTGGATACCTAGATACTTAGATACCTAGTTACTTAGATACCTAGAAACTTTGATACCTAGATACTTAATTGGATACCTAGAAACTTGAATACCTAGATACTTTGATACCTAAATATTTGGACATCTAAATACTTGGATACCTAGATACTTGGATACCTACATTCTTAGATACCTAGATACTTAATTGAATTACTTTGATACCTAGATATTTAATTGAATACCTAGAAACTTATATACCTAGAAACGTGAATACCTAGATACTTTGATACCTAAATATTTGGATAACTAGATACTTGGATATCTAGATACTTGGATATCTAGATACTTGGATACCTAAATACTTGGATACCTAGATACTTGGATACCTAGATATTTGGATACTTACATAAATGGATACTTAGATACCTAGATACAGGATACCTGTACTCTTGAATATCTGGATACAGGATACCTATACTCCTGGGTATCTGGATACGGGATACCTGTATTCCCTAGATATCTGGATACAGGATATCCGTTCTCCTGGGCTAACAGGTATTGATGAAGAAATGTTTGCTCTTGAATTAGTTAAGTTTACTTTAAGCACATTCACCAGAATAAACACAAATGTTTAAGAAAAAACAGGGACTTCATCTTAAACTGGAGACATGAAACTAAACCACAATCCACTATTCAACCCCCCCCCCTTCCCCCATTCAAATGATCACCAAACACATACTACTTATATTCATAATGGGGCCCACTATAATGATGCTTTACCTACACAATTGTATTCATCTTACTTTGTATATGTTTGTTAATGATAAAACCCGCAAAAATATGAACAAATTGAAGAAGTGTTGAATAAAAATGAATAATCTAAAAAATGTTAAAAATCCCTTAAAGATAGAAGTAAACGGTCCTACATCCCTTCAAGAAGGTTTTCCGGTGAAATATATACTCTTAACTTTCCTGTGAGTAAACCCAACCTTGTATACTTAACATACTTAAATACAAATCATGTTCTTCAGAATCCACGATAACATTGATACTAAAACATCCCACCCTACTCTTCATGATTGCTGAATACCTCTGTAAAAAGTGTCACTGATAAAGGGTTTCCTTCCCTAACTGCTTACGCACCATCCTTACGCATGTATTTACGCAAAATTTTTGCTCCGCCACACATCACCCCGTACATCCGACTCATTCTTAACCATTCAAAATCACTTAGTCGTCTTCATAGAGTACATTAGAGCACTACTATTCTACTCCATAGAGTAGATTAGAGCACCACTATTCTACTCCATGGAGTAGATTAGAGGAACACTATTCTACTCCATAGAGTTAATTAGAACACCACTATTCTACGCCATAGAGTAGATTAGAGCACCACTATTCTACTTCATAGAGTACATTAGAGCACCACTATTCTACTCCAAAGAGTAGTAAAATAGTAGATTAGAGCACTACCATTAGACTTCATAGAGTAGATTACTACTTTATATATAACTAGTTTGGAACCCAGCGCTGACCAGATTTCTCATAGATATTCCAGTCGTTTACCCGCACTTGAACGATTTACAAGGAAACTAAATTTTCACTTTTAAAGTCGACCCACTCAACTAAGAATCTTAAAACCAAGCTAAGAACATTCCCGTTGGTCTCCCGAGTTCCCCAATCAAAATTTGACACAAATCGGTCTAGGGGTTCCCGAGTTATGATCGAACAAATAAACACACAGACAGTTAAACAGAGATTACAACTTTATATATATATAGAAGAAACATACGCTGTCCTGCGCGTACTGTACTGAACAATGTTTACAATTATTCATTATCAGCTTAATCATGTAGGTTTTTATACCAAGCCAAGTATTTCACCGAAAGTTTATTTTATCCTTTCCAATTTAACAAAAATTTTATTTCCCTTACTTAAAGACTGTTTTTAAAAAGCACAAACCGTCAATCTTTAAGAATTCATTAAAAATTTATTCGAGTATTAACAGACTCGCAGTGATGCACCGCTAGGTTGCGTGAGTTTTCATACAATATAGATTAAAAATTGTAGATGACATTCCTTAAGATCTGAAATCTGTGTTAAATACCTATATAAAGTTGAAATATCTGTTTGTCTATTTGTTTGTCCGATCATAGCTCTATAACCCCTGGACGGATTTGCCTTAACATTGATTGGGGAACTCGGGATTTCCACGGGAATGTTCTTATTTTTGTTTAGAGTTGGTCGTCTTTAATAGCGAAAATTTAGATTCCCGGTAAAATCGTTTAAGTGCGGGTAAACGGCGGGAGAAACTTTTTGTAACCTTGGCAGCATTGGGTTCCCAAGCACGTTAGCTAATTCTCAAGTTTTTTATCTGTCAAGTTCTCAAGTTCTGTATCAAGGTCTCTCGTTCTGTATCAAATTCTCAAGTTCTTAAATTCTGTATCAAGTTCTCAAGTTCTGTCTCAAGCTAGTTCTCAAGTTCTGTATTAAGTTCTAAAGTTCTTTATCAAGTTCTCAAGTTCTCAAGTTATTTATCTATCAAGTACTCAAGTTCTGTATCAAGTTCACAAGATCTGTATCAAGTTTTCAAGTTCTGTATAAAATTCTTAAGTTTTGTATCAAGTTCTGAAGTTCTGTATCAAGTTCTCAAATTCCGTACCAAGTTCTCAAGTTCTGTAGCAAGTTCTCTAGTTCTGTATCAGGCTAGTTCTCAAGGTCTGTATTAAGTTCTCAAGTTGTTTATCAAGTTCTCAAGTTCTGTTATTAATTTTTTAAATTCCCTATCAAGTTCTCAAGTTCTGTATCAAGTTCTCAAGTTCTGTATCAAGCTAGTTATCAAGTTCTGTGTTAAGTACTCAAGTTCTTTATCTATCAAGTTCTCAGGTTCTGCATCAAGTTCTCAAGTTTTGTATGAAATTCTCAAGTTTTTTTTTATCAAGTTCTCAAGTACTATACTAAGTTCTCAAATTCCGTATCAAGTTCTCAAGTTCTGTCTCAAGCTAGTTTTCAAGTTCTGTATTAAGTTCTCAAGTTCTGTATCAAGCTAGTTCTCAAGTTCTGTATCAAGTTCTCAAGTTCTGTATCAAATTCTCAAGTTCTGTTATCAAGTTCCTCAATTTATGTATCTAGTTCTTAAGTTCTGTATCAAGCTAGGTCGCAAGTTCTGTATTAAGTTATCAAGTTCTGTATCAAGTTCTCAATTTCTCAAGTTTTTTAGTTTTTTATCTATCAAGTTCTCAAGTTCTGTATTAAATTCTCAAGTTATGTATCAAGCTAGTTCTCAAGTTTTGTATTAAGTTATCAAGTTCTGTTTCAAGTTCTCAGGTTCTCAAGTTTTTTAGTTTTTTTATCTATCTAGTATTCAAGTTCTTAATCAAGTTCTCAAGTTCTGTATCAAATTCTCAAGTTCTGTATCAAATTCTCAAGTTCTGTATCAAATTCTCAAGTTCTGTATCAAATTCTCAAGTTTTGTATCAAGTTCTCAAGTTTTGTATCAAATTCTCAAGTTCTGTATCAAGCTAGTTCTCAAGTTCTGTATCAAGTTCTCAGGGTCTGTATCAAGTTCTCCTGCTCTGTATCAAGTTCTCAAGTTCTGTATCAAGTTCTCAAGTTCTGTATCAAATTCTCAAGTTCTTTATCAGGTTTTAGATTAAATATTGTGGTTCTCTGGGTCTGAATCAGGTTATATGATAAAGTACTGAAGGATGCAATAATAAATGTGTGAAATACTTGGATATTAACTTCCTTCCTAGAAATCAGACCAGATGGGAGACTAAACCTGACCAAATCTAGAGAAAAGTGTTATCAAGAAACATAGAGAATAGAATATATAGAGAGGAATTAAAAGAATCTCTCTGTATGCATTTTTTCAGTCCCTTTCAGCCAGAAAGGGAGTTCAAAGTGTATAAATCATGTAAATGTTCACAAATTATTTGCAGTAGAGTACATTAGTACAGTATGTTCCCTAGACTATTCATTTCAATTTCGAAATTTTTAAAGCTGTTAAATAAACTTTATAATGAATTAGGTGAATAAAAACATCATTTGATTTATATCAATTCCGACATATCATGGTAAATTTCATTAAACTACTTTCCTTTCCTTCATAAATATGTTTCTCTGTCAAAATCAAAATAAATTCAGAATATTTTTTATATCTAATTCTCCCCCTCATTCACGGGAAATGTTCCCTGGGCCATACCTAATTGTATGCTTTTTTCACTCATTCGTCAAGTTTGACGAAATTAGCCAAAAAATAAAGGATACCTTATTTTAATATCCAACCATCCCCCGCTAATTTGTGGGAAATAAAAACCGATGTAAATTTGGTGCGGGAAGATTTTACGGTAATTAGATCAGCGTTTTTTGCGACTTTTTGTGTCGGAGAATCAAAATGATCTTGTTTAACATGAAACGGAAACCTGAAATCACCCTAACTATTTTTATTCTTCTCATTTTAATGAGCGTTCAGTCCGGGAGGGCGGGGAGATAATTTCCCTGTATAGCCCATAACCAATGGTTCCCTGTAAAGCCCCTAACCAATGGTACCCTGTATAGCCCCTAACCAATGGT